TAATTAAATAAAATAATTTTTTTTATCAACAAAACAAATAATATATATATTAATCAAGAGTATAAGAAATACCCCAAAATGAAAATACAACTATCAAACAAAATGTTCAAATGAAATCACATTACAAGCACATAGCCGGCACATAAGAGTTGACGATTTAGTACATGAATCAACAACAATTAACTAAAGTAAAATCATCCCATATCTCGCTGCAGCAGGTGATACATTTTCCAATTATTACGATGTGGAATAATGGTTTTCCTATACTCCATCGGACTTAAGACCCAATTTTGATAGGAAAAAACACACCCTTCTTCCTTATTGTTAAGTCATAAAAAGGATTTATGTTGGATATACTCTAATAATAACACTTCAGACATCAACTTTATTTCAAACACTTACATATTCCTTTAAAATCAAATAAACCAAGCAACAATCAAAAAAATAAAAGCCCTTGAGTCCGCCAAACAACCCCCATTTATACTGTGCACCACAAACTCTGCCAAATCAAAAATATCTTTCGACAAAACATTCCTGTAATCCCCATCATCTCAACACCTTCATCCACACTAATTATGTACCTTGACACTCGCGAAAGATATGATATGATTTACTTGTTCCACTTCCTCACCACATAACTCACAACTAACATCCCCCAGCGCAATTTCTCTCTTAAATTTATTAATTAAATAAAATAATTAATTTTTTATTTAAAAATAATATAATTTTTTCTTTGTTAAAAATAAAAATGAATGTGTAATTATATTATTATAATTAATTTTATTTATTTATTTTATTATTTTTTTTATAAAATTAATAATTTTAATAATAAATAAATAATATTTAAAGAATAAACTTAATTATTTTTAAATATATTCTTATTAATAATTTAATATTAAATAATAATTATTAATTATTATCTAATTAAATAATTATATTTATTAAATTTATTATTTATTATTTATTACTTAATTCCTATTATCCGTTATTTGTTGTCGGTTAATTGCCACATCAACCTTAAAAGTTGCATTTAAAGATACTTTAATGCACCGGATGGAACAGTTTTCAAATTATTTTCAATCACTCATTTTGTTTTATGCTACCTATCAAACAGCTTCCAAATTGTTTTCAATCACTCATTTTTTACCTCGAACCTCCCTTGCTTCGTTGTTTCCGTCATTGCTTCATTTACTCTTTTAATAGGTTAAACTCTTAATTTACTCTTTTAATTATTGTATAAATTTTTAAATTAAAAAATTTTTTAATTTGATTTTTAAAATATTTGAATTTGACTCTAAATTAATTTTTTTGTTAAAAATAATTTATGCGTGTTATTTGATGGTTAAAAATTATTACTTGATTATTATATATCACATTAGTAATAAGATATGTCAATTATTTTTAAACATAAAAATCAACTTAAAGGCAAATTTAAAAATTTTAAGAATTAAACCTAATATTTTCAGAACTAATTTAGGAGGTTTATACAATAATTAAGGGATTAAATTAGGAGTTTAACTTATATTATATTGGGTTTTTCATTTTTTATGTATAAATTTAATTAAGAATATAATAAATATATTTTTTATAATTAATTTATATAAAAATAATAAAAGTTGACTTAAATTTAATCAGTTGACTAATTACAATTATTTAAATGGTAATAACACTAAAATAAAAATAATTTTTATCATTTTTATGTAAATGAATA